TCACACATCAGTTGAGGATTTCATCATCGAGTGAATGACATTAATTAAAGATATGTTGCATCTTCAATGTTATAAAATATGCTACAAGAAGTTAATTTCTATGTCTAACCCTCAATTTTCTTATGTTAAATGGCTATATTTTATTCTTATATCCAGTAGGACGTGATGATTGTAGGCAACGATTAGCAGATAATTGTTTCGAAATAGCATTTTCGGACGCAAATTTCATGTTACCATTCAATCTAAATCTGCTGTGAAAATACTTTATTTCTCGAACACGTGTTAAAAGGTAAAAGCTTGAAAGCAACTTGGGTAGTGCCGATAGTAGGCACAGTATTTTCTCTAAGCATTGCTAATAATATGCATATTTTGTCACCTAAGCAATGCCGATAATCCGCTTATTATTTACTCTGAGGTGAATTGATGCCATATGCAATTGCTCGCGAATAATTCCCTCCATCATAAACTCTCAGCCAAGTGTCTCACCCGTTTAAAAATACGACCGTGAAGCACAGGCTAAATTCACCATTAGCGTAGAATTTACGATAGCCACACCAATTTTCGAAAATGCATCCACATCACAATTTATGTGCTTGCGGTTGTTCGGTCAACTTCTATGCACGACAGTCGAGGCCGTTGGCAAATTGTTCTTTTTATGACCCATAAAAAGAAGGCATAGAAGCGCTAAAAAAAATTAACGTGATGCTGGCCATCGAAGATCTGCTCGGCATGCAACGAAGGCAAATGTTAGCCATTGGATTGCGGCAAACCCTAGCCGTGGCTTAATATAACGCCGACTTGTGAATTAATTGAGTGCCGATGCTCAGTTTGAAGACGTATTTTCCAGACGAAGTAATTATTCCCAGAAATCTGATGGACAAAAATTATAGCGTAACCGTAATTTCAAAAGTCAATCGCCGTTCAAGTTTCGAATAAAACTTGCCTATTGTGGGTGACTACGTTGATCTGCGGCCGTTGGAAACTAGAGAATCGTACGCAACTTCAATTGACAGAACCATTATACTGAACGCTCGACTTTCCGCCTGTAAGAATTATCGTGCTTAGTTCTGAACCCGGGCAGAATCACTATACTGGAGGTTCTATTGTCTGCCTGCGAGATGTTACATGCATAGTTCTGAATCCGGGCAGAACCACAATACTGTAGGCTTGACTCTTGCCTGCAAGAGTTATACTCAGTTCTGAACTCGGAAAGAACCACTATACTGAAAACTCAACTCTCGCCTGTAAGAAGTATCATGCTCAGTTATTAACCCTTCAGAACCACTATACTGTAGGCTCAATTCTCACTTGCAAGAAGTATCATGCTCAGTTATTAACCCTTCAGAACCACTACACTGAAGGCTAAACTCTCGCCTGCAAGACGTATCATGCTCAGTTATTAACCCTTCAGAACCACTACACTGAAGGCTCAATTCTCATTTGCAAGAAGTATCATGCTCAGTTCTGAACCCGGTCTAGGCGTCCAGCTGAGCTAGCATAACATCTTGTATCAAGTGGCCTACCTAACCATTTAGAAGCATCGCCGTGTCAGAAGCGACCGGCCAAAAGCCATTCAAAAAACACCGATAAAGCGCCTAAGATTTGCAACTGCGCTTTGCTGTCATAACAAGTTTTCTAAAGGGCAGTTGAAGAGGGATCTCCTAACTCCGTTTCCCACACTCCAGCTGACTTAGAGACAAATTTTAAAAAGTACTTTTGAGTGTCTGCAACAGCAGAAACCTAAACCCTATTACGCGACTCTATATTACATGGCCAGAGTCGAGCAGGTTGTAATTACGATGCAGTGTCTCAGCATTTCGCGGCACAGCGCAAACACAGACTGCAATTTTCTTGCGTTTCTAGGTTACTCACTCAGCAGCAACGGGCAAAACCACTGGAATGTTTCTAGAAACAAAATTTAATTGTCTAGAAGTTCCATAGATTATCTGGCGCCGGTGAAGAAACTCGTGCAAACTTACGCAGGTTTGTTCAATTTATCTAACCCACACAACTCACTTCAACTGCAAAAAATTACTCACCTTTACTAATCGCGATTATAACTTGATTCCTGTCAACTTTCATTCTCTCAGCTCAATGGCTTACAGTTTTCTTTCACGAGCAAGTCCCTTTCACTGGCACACGTCATGGCTCATTTATTCTTGCTTCGTAACAAAGCTGATGGGCAATATAAAGCTGAACTTATTCCAGTCTGAACCTTAAGCATCCATAAAGGCAGCATTCGGGCTTAATAGTTCACATGCATGCAAACAAATAATAATGCACGTGGCTCACTTTATCATATGTAAAGCTTATTGATCCAAATGGTTCTATTCAGGACCATTTGATCCAAATGGTCCCAAAATGCTTATTGATCCAAATGGTCCCAAATGGTATATGAGCCTGAACAGGGCTCAAATTCCGAATGGTTACTAGCTGTAGGAAATGAGACACTGTTTTTATCTAATTCTGGATATTTTTCCCCGTGTCGGGGAGAATTTTTTGAAGACAATGATGGGCATCTGCCCAACGTCAACTTATGTGCGGTTATGGGTAACATTTTAGCCAACGGCGCGCGGTCAATAATGAGACATGATAGATCAGCAATCATATAATCGAAGGCGTATTATCAACGGCCACTCACTCGACGATCCTTTCCAGATTGAATATGTGCCCTGAACTGTCGAGAAATAATAAATTTTTGTGGAAAACAATTTCCTCTCGAAATGTGAGCAATAAAAGCTTATTGAATATGATGCGGCTACGACATTTTATGCACGCGGATTGCCTGTCTGTTGTGATGCACGGACTGCCTGTCTGTTGTGCTGCACGGACAGCCTGTCTGTTGTGCTGCACGGACAGCCTGTCTGTTGTGCTGCACGGACTGCCTGTCTGTTGTGCTGCACGGACTGCCGGTCGCTAATTATTAGTCAATGAGAATAAATGGAATTTCACATCTGACTGAGTTTTACAGGACAACGTGGAGCTAATTTTAAATAAATTTGAGGTTTTGTAATGGAAACCTGTTTAAGATCTGTGAGTGGTAAGTGATTTTTTGAGTGATTTTATTTTTTTATTACAAATAAAATAAAAATCCGTGGCATATACTCGGCTGCCCAACAAATAAATAATCATTTATTAATTATTGCATCATAATAAATACTCTAAGTAACTTTTTCATTGATTTCAACAACCCAACTGGAATTATCAAGAAAAGTAATAAATATTTCAGCTTCAAGAGTCAGCTTATACATATTATGCAAGCAACTTCCCGTCAATCTCCAGGGTATATAGCAAGATAGTATATATTATCATATATTTTATGACATCATAAAGATTATATATAAAAGTATTATACCCATCACAGTATATCGTTCTCCAAAATCTTTCATCACCTAAGAACTCTAGATGGTTATATAATGGTGGTGGATGTTAGAATGGTGGTGGGTGGTGAGTGTTAAAATGGTGGTACATCACGTAGATTATATATGATAGTATATTGTTCTCCAAAATCTCCCATCACCTAAGAACTCAAGAAGGTTATATAATGTGACACAGATATTGCAAGATATTATATATTATCATATATTGTATGACAGCATATAGATTATATATGATAGTATAACGTTATCCAAAATCTTCCATCACCTAAGAACTCAAGAAGGTTATATAATGTGACACAGAACCGACGTAACCACAGAGCGCGCGTGTCTGGTGACGGCCATCTGTGCTGATGGCTTTACTGGCCCGCGGCGATGGCAGACACTCAGGAAATAAATGCGTCTTTTTGTCCAAATCGTGAGCCACTTTCTCCACGTAGCACCAGTACGTCATTTTTCTGTCAGGATGGTCTCAAAAGGGAAAATAGTGCTTCGCAATTTAGACAAAGTACCACCAATTTCTCTGAGTTTACGTCACAGCCGCTCTCGTCTCCGAGGCCCGTATCATCAATAAATGATTTCGATTGCCGGTTGAAATTTATAATTGAGGCAGAGCGGTGATAATTCTTACAAGTGACTAAATTCTTATAATTGTCTCAAGTTCTTACGGTGGCCTCGAGTTCTTACGGTGGCCTCGAGTTCTTACGGTGGCCTCCAGTTCTTACGGTGTTAGACTTATGGCCTGGGAATTATGTTTTAGTAATTAGACTCGGAAAGCTCTTGAAAGTGAATTACTTCACTTAAAAATATTCTTAAGAAAATCTGGATTGTTTGCACTCGTAAATTATTCTGTAAAAAGTGTAATTTGCTATTCTAATTCAACTTTGATACCTCAGTTGTTTGTGGTGGTGTTTACACATCATCCAAACACTGCAGAAAATTCATAAAATTCTTATTTAAGTGAAAATTCTCATTTACATTTCCACTCTCTCCACATCCACTCATGTGATTGAACGTTTTAGTAAAACCGACCCTCGTAGATACTAGAAAATAAAGGGTAATGAATATCATATGGTTATGTTCATTTTACTCACTTAATCTTAAGTTTGCTCACTTATGGAGCGCGTTGCATCGAGTGAGCAAACTGTCATGAGATTGACGAATACTTATGGAATTTTAATTTCTTTATTTATTGTTTCTAGAAATATTTCCGTGATTGACTTTATTTTTTAGAGGGGAAAATATTAAATAAATAAATAATATCACTTTAAATGTTCATTGATGAGCATAATGAGTTCATAAGTAAGCATAAATGTTCATTAATAAACATAATTTGTTCATTAATGAGCATGTTCATTAATGAGCATAATTTTGTTTAATAAAGTAATTTCGTACATATTCTATATTTATTTAATTTAATTATAAAAATTACAAGTTGCTGCCGTGAATTTGTAAATTGAACCATTCGGAACCTTCAATAGTTTATCACGTAACCACATTTTTTTTAATATAATTTAGAGAGCATTGTATACACCTATTAAGTTATTTTATTTGGCACTCTAATTAAGAATCATTAAAATCGAAAAAATTATTCAATCTCCAGATTACATATTTTCTGGAGAATATTTAAATAAATGTAATAAGCATATATACATATTATATACGCAATTAATAATACAACTTCCAAGCCTGGTAACTATAAAAACCCCTACGCAACTATTGTCTGCATGGTAATTGACAATAATGATATTCCGTGTATATACAATTAAAAATATCAATAAGAAACTTAGTGATCGAAAATATCTCATCACAAGGGAGAAGCTATAAATGTATCCTATCATTGCTCTTGCGATAAAAAAAACTATAAAAATTTACTTCCAAATTTCAATTTCATTCAACATTTTTTCTGTTAACTTGCATTTATCTTCATTTTTCGGTGCTGAAAGATAAACGTGTGAAAAACATTAACTAATACAGTATATAGTTAGGCAGCGGTGATCATAAATTTTTATCTGAGATCATTATCTTCAATCAGCATATGATGATAGACCAAAATATAAGTTAACATAGAAATGGTTTTATGTAGATGGTGCGTATACGTTGGTCAATATTTCTTTCTTGAAATCGAACGCAATAAATTTATAAGTCTGCGATCAAAGTCAAAAACGCCACATTTGACTTTAAATCTTATTTTTTGGCAGCGATGAAACTTTTATTTTGCATGATGGTTCGTTGCTTTGGAAACCACATAATCTAATATACGATTTGCAGCGTATTTGAAATCTTGCATATATAATTGTATTTTTTGGCCGCGTTGAAACTTTCATTTTGCATGATGGAAGACGTGCTTCATCGAGCATTATATCATATTAAAGACGGCTCCTAAAATTCTTGCAGTCTCTGTTATTAAAAAGCTTTATTTCAATATAAGATATTTGAAACAAATCATTGTAAATTAATTTGATCACAAATTTTCAAAGCCTCAAATTTAAAGAAGATAAGTCTAATAATTAGGTCATAGAGTAAAGTAGAAAATAAATAGATTCGTAAAGTTAGGCTTGAAATAAAGAGATCACATAAATTACCCAGAAATTGTTATTTCTTTGGAAATAAAGCTAGAATCACCAAAGGAAAAGTAACCTTCGCAAAAAATGCCAAGAATAAACATCACACTTGAAAATATATAAGCACAGGATAGGCAAATTCAGTTTATGAAAATATAATACTCAAATTTATGGCGGAAGCATTCATCTATGTTGCTATTGTTCCTCGCTTTCCATATTTGACGGTATAAAATATAGTGAACATTTCCAGAGACCCGAATATACATTAAGGTGCCTTAAACATTGAAGATCGTTAGCTCAGGCACCACATTTAATAATCGTTGGTCCGCGCAAATCGTCTAATCGCGGTTCTATTCATAAAAATATTCACATTACGTTTACGTGTATAGTATTCCACAGTAAGTTACAAGAAGCAACTATCGGGGCGGTGAATAACGCAAACTTATTCCCGGTAATCAAGGACATAACCAAGATTTTTTCGTTGTAAAAACATGAGAATTTCCCAGAACGGCGGCCTTTGCCTCTCAGTTGACCTCCAGCACGAAGTCATCATCTGGTACACCTCCTTACACGTCAGTTCTGGCTGAGGGAGGAGAGGAATCGGGTCTTGGGTCTGGCATGACCTGCAAATGTGTTCCACGACTGCAGAATCACTGAGATCATCTAATGGTCGCTCTGCAGCGTACGTTAAAATCTCCCAAAGTGTTACGCCGAAACTCCAAACGTCACTCTTGGTGCTAAAGCGCGCGTGCAGAATAGACTCAGGAGGCATCCATCGTATGGGTAGCAGTAACCTGCCCTCGATGTTCCAGTAGTCGCTGGCATACAGCGCACGAGTCACTGCAAAGTCTGACACTTTAACCCTCAACTTCTTACCTACAAGGCAGTTTCTGGCGGAAAGATCTCTATGCACTAAATTATGGGATTCCAAATACTTCATTCCGGATGCGATCTGTGAAGATATGTACAGTAAGGCCCCGTAGGAGAGATTTGGCCGATTCTCCACTAGACAAGAATTTAAGGTGTTATGGCTCACAACCTCATTATTATAATCATGGAAACGCAGAAACTGATATAGATCACCGTATTCAGAGTATTCAAAAATGGCACTTAGTGGATCACAAGGCACGATTCCAACCAAACCCGCAATGTTAGGATCACTGATATTGCTGAGTATGCGGATTTCATTGCGGAACTCTTCCTTGTTAAGCTCGGATACGATAAGTTTTAGAGTTTTGATGATATGCAAGCATTTGTTCTTCTCTATGTCCACTCCATCCTGCGGTGCAGTCTGGTCTAGAGCACACAAATGCACGACGCCATGAGTACTCTCACCGAGTAAATCCAATAATTTGAAATCATTTCTCTTTATTTCTAGCACGGGCAGTTCACTCCTGAGGGTGACCGACTCTGGCATAGCAAACAAAGAAGATCCTACCATACCCCTGATGTCGACACCGAAGCGGCCGGACAGATCCTTCTTGGCTTCCTTCAGCTCGGGATCGCTGCTCATGTCCATCAGGGATCCCGGGGGCATTGTTACTGGTACAGGAGGAGGGATTTTGTAAATATCCATCAGAGAGGGAGGATGCGATGTGGACATCGTTGGGATAGCGTAGTCGGATGAGTCTCGAGCGCCGAGCATTGGTTGTAGAGCCTTGTCGGACAAAGAACTGCCTTGGGCGAGTGTGTAATACCCAGGGTTGTTTACAGGGCCTTTGTAGGGCTCCTGGTACATTGCTGAGGACTCGTCATCCTGGTTTGTGTCGCCATAAAACCGGCACATCGACCGAGGAACGCTTCCGGTTCTACCGGTCATATTGAAATGCAAATCATTCATGTTGAGAGCGACTTTTCTTTTGGCATTTTTGACAAAAGGCGGAGTGCTTTTATCTTTGTTTGATATTTTCTTCTTGTAGAAGAGTACGGCCAAAACAATTAGCACCAGGCAGAAGATCACCCCCAAGGTGGCGAGGCAGCCAATCAGCACGCCTGATGACCCGTCGTCCGCTGGGACCACGGCGGGGCTGAAGACCCGCATGTCCACGTCCAGGGGGACCGGCCCGTCCTCAACGGGTAAGTCGCAGTCGCAAGGAACTGGAGAAGAAATTACAATGTCTTTGTCAGGACAAGATAATACGAAAATTTTCAAAGAAAATAAAAATTTTAATACGAACATTTTTCAAGGCAAATACGGAAATTTTTCGAATGAACTACGAAAATTTCCAGGGAATAATAAATTTGCACATTTAATGACTTTGCGTTTGTGAAAACTGTAACGCACTATAGAACTATTCAAACAGCAGCCATTGATACAACTGAAATTATTTTTGCAAGTTAACACATTTTAAAAGTATACATATGTTATCTTCATGAATGTGTCGAAATTCTACTACTCATAGATATGTGATTGTATTGATTGTTGAAATACAAGAACCTATATAGTACATTAATGCAACTCAAGTGTCAATCCACTAGCAGGAACATTATTTTAGTTTCACAATTTACTGAAAGAAATCTGTCATTTCTCCTGGAAGGAAACTATAAATTTAAATTGCACACACACTTCTCCATCAGTTTAAACTTAAAAGGACTATGTAATTAATTTAAGTTACTAGCCAGAGTCTAAAGTCACTTCTTACAAATGTCGGGTTACTCACCCGAATCAAAAATCACTTTTGCAACATTTCAACAACATATTCAACAACATTTCACTGCACTCACACGAGTATAAAATCACTTCTGACAACATATATGACAACATATTTGACAATATGCCAAGCTACTTACCCGAGTCAAAAGTCACTTCTGACAACATGATCCACATATGGGCGAAGTAAAGCATGAGTTTAACCTTCTTGGCGGGAATTTGTTTAAGCAAAATTGTAACGTTCCTCGATTTCTCGAAGACATGATCAGGCTCAGCCTCGTACGTCACGCTCTTCGAGTAATACTTCCCGCCGACGCTGAAGTAAAGCTTAGCCTGCGAGAAAATCTGTGGGCATAAAATTAAACAATTTAAGTGGTAGCAAAATACCGCGAAAAAGGAAAATGTATTTCGAACGAATTATTTAAGCTTGAGAGACTGGATAAATGTAAATATTATTTGTGAAATATATTATGAATTGTTTTTGGAAAGAAAACTATTTACTCTGAAATAATACTTATTCATCTAGAAGTGAAAGTTATTTATCAATTCCGTAAACTTTATATCAACAACCTCTCATAAACTAAAATACGTAAAATATAAAGAAAAGATCATTCATAAAAAGTGCTGCGTCACATTCTATAAATAGTAACACCCTCTGCACGTAACACTGCTACGTTCGTACGAGTATACCCGGCCAAACCGAGTTGAAATTACCCACAAAAGTGTAAAAACTTCATCTTAATTTGAACAAAGTAACACTGATATCTCTGAGTGATGGCCCGCCACTTGCCTGCACGTCGCGCGAGAAGAAGTTGTTCGCGTGGAGGTGCACGGCAGAAAAGTTACGCAGCTCGTCGAACTCGAAGGTGATCTCGACAGGCTGTTGCCCTCGCGTTAGGTTACGCCAGCCTACCCACTCGTACCCTGGTGAGGGGAGAGGGGCATGAGGGTATGAGGGTAGGGGGAAGGGTATGAGGGTAGGAGGGGAGGGGGAGGGGCACGTGAGTATGAGGGTAGAGGGAGGGACACGTGGGNGTGCACCTGTCACCACTCACCCGTGCACCTGTCACCACTCACCCGTGCACCTGTCACCACTCACCCGTGCACCTGTCACCACTCACCCATGCACCTGCCCACCACTCACCCGTGTACGGGCAGCCGTATAGCTCTACCCGCATGCACACGGTGCGCGGGTGGTCGCTGTACGGCACGAAGCGTAGCCGCGACGCTACGATTGGCGGCGACAAAACCGAAGCCTTCGCCAGGTAAGTGTTCGTGTTGCCCTCCAGGAACTGCGTGCACGTGTCGGAACGTCGAGTGAGATTTGAGTTTTACCAATATTTTGGTAAAATCATCTAAAAATTTTGCATTTTTTATGGATTTTATTTGTTCATTTTATTACGTTCATTTTATTACGTTCTTTTCGTCTACATCCTTCAGTGCAAGTAGAATATTTCACGACACCTACCTATTTATCTCCCTGGAATTATTCAAGATTCCCTCGCAAATATCAATTATATTTAAAATCAATTAGAAAAATATGTATTAATAAATCGTAAAATTCTATACACTAGTTGAGACTGCACTTATGCAAACCTTATTATATATTATGCAGAACAGGGATATATATGAAGAACAATCATATTTTTATATATTATATTAACATATATTATGAAGAACAACCATATATGCATATATTATATTAGCATATTTTATGAAGAACAACCATGTATGCATATATTATATTGGCATATATTATGAAAAACAATCGTATATGCATATATTATATTAGTATATATTATGAAGAACAATCATACATGCATGTATTATATTAACATATATTATGAAGATCATATATGCATATATCATATTAGCATATATTATGAAGAACAATCATACATGCATATATTATATTAACATATATTATGAAGAACAATCATATATGCATATATCAAATATTATATCATGTTAGCATATATCATGAAAAACAATGCTGACCTCGTTGCCATGTCCATCCCGGTACGTAACCCAGTGTCCAAGAGAAGCTCTCCAGTACTGTAACTTGTACTTCTCAGCGTACTCCCGACCCTGGCCGTTACCAAACCGCCCCTGTACCTCCACCTTGGTCACCACGTGGTTAGTCTCCAGGTTTACCTCCAAGTGGTCGAGGCCTTCGTCGAACACCATGGTGCGTGGGCACCATGCGCCTCCACCGACTTCCACGTGGGCTCTGATCGTGGGGAGGTTGAGGGTTTGGTTATAAATCTAGATTATTTAATTTCAATTATTAGATTTGATATTAATTTTATTTTGATTTGGGGAGCGAAAAAATCATTAATTACACGATATATCAATTGCAGTGTGCATATTTTAGTCTAAATTATAATAAATTACTTAAACATCATGTTGTGTTAAATCGGTTTACAAATTTTCATCTTCATCACAGCAAAATCAGGCACCAATTTTGAACGTATTTACTACTTAATTGAATCCGTATTTTTACAAGATATCTTAATTCTAATTATCCTGAAACACAAATGTGCCCTCTGGAGATTCATTTGAAAAGTATTTAAATAAATCATATATATTGATAAATAATTTAAATTGTTAGTAAATACATAATTTTTATACTATACAATTGATTATCGCTATAATCTGCTTCATCTGGACCGAGACTTCGACGTTAAGGCAAAACTATAAAGTAAAAATTACGGTTATTTGATTTTATTGATTTTATTGTGTAATTAATTGTGATTAATTGATTTTATTGTGTAATTCATGTTCAATTTTAGTAATTATAGTCATGAGGTGCATTATATGCAACGAAACTTCGCCGTGAAGACTAAACTATTCGGAAAATATACGATAAATTCATCTGCAATGAGAGTTATTAGAGCCACAAAGTGCTTCATGTCGAATTTATTATGTGTGAATTTCTTTATCTGTGTTGTGTCTATAGATAACGTTGATGGTGCTGATAAATGTTCACTATTTCACACTTTCCTTTAATTTACGTTAAAAAAATTACAGAAAACATTCAGCGCGTTTCTCTCATTTTAGTAGAAAAATATCACAAAATATATCTGCTTTAATATTTTTGCATTATGATAAACAACTATAAAGCAATATAAGTGTAAAATACTATACTACAATACTAAGCTATACTAAGTTAAAAAATATTCGAGTTGTGACAGTATCAACTCACCCGTCGACAGAGATGAGGCATGCGGCAATATCAACAGGATGTTGAGAATTATCAACATTAGGGCTGTATTCTGGCGCTGATTTGGACGCATGTTCATCATGTTGAACCTTGTACGAGAGCTGGTAGGATATCTTCTTTCTTCTCTACATTCATAACTTGTAACGTTGTTTCCTCTCATGCTCCTTCAGTATCATCATCGATATAAATATTTTAAATTAATAACGATAAGTTAGTTGTGTTTGTGAACCTTCTGTATCTGATTTAATGAATAGAAAATTTTTTATATTAGTGAATTACAGATAGAATTTTTCTTATTGCTCGATATAATCAATGAACTAAAGTACATTTACCAAAACGGTAGAGGTTTTGTGCAGAAGTAACATAATTTGAATTTGGTTTTATTAATCATTTCATAATTCTATGCTGGCGCGAGAAAAGGATATGCATTTCTCTTTTCTCGTGCTCGAGATGCAGAGAATCAGACGCTCTTATCGCCCGGCCATTAGCATTAGCGATAACACTGCATCAAAAAGCTACGGGTTGATTCAGCCGCGCGCTTTGGTTGCTGCTGCAAAATGCTTTCAACAATCGCTTTTTTAAATAGAAATTATTTTTATCATAAATAATAATAATTTATGATATGAATAATAATAATTTTTAGAAATAATAATTTTAAATAGAATTAATTTTTTTATAATTTTGTCATCTTCTTACCTTACTTTTGAATGCCAGAATTTTATTTCGGTAATATCTTGATTTTCTTTTGATTGAGAATTAAACAATAAGTTTGCTTGTGAGCTTAGAAACCTAAGTACAAATTCGTCACGAGGTTGAATATAAAATATTTGAATATTGTTCTAACCATTTTTATCAGCAAGTTCTTGCTGTTAGAAAGTAATTATTGTCTATTTAACATTTAAATCATGAGTTTCGTTCTAAAATTCGCACAGTTTATGATTAAAGCGATGAAAAATTCGTCTATTCAAAAATTCACCAATTTTTCCCATTTGCTCTATAACTTACGCGTACGAAATTGCATCATTAACGAAAATCTTGTCCGCAAATTGACAAGTCAATATTGACTATCAAAGCCACAGACGCCGACGAAAGCAAAATTAGCTCCCGATTACCAGTTTACTTGCAAATCAACGCACATGTTTTCTATGCAGAGTCACATTATCATCGCCTAATATGAGAAGCTCCGGAATTTGTCATTAAAATTCTTGCAAGAGTTCTTTGGCGTCGCAATCTTACAGAAGTTGCGAGCAAGCTTCGCTCTTGCAATATTCGCTCTAATCAGTCTAACTCTCAGAGAAATGAGTGGGACTTTAGCCAAATAGCGATGCACTTTGTGCACTTATGTGGGTCACCCTTACTCATTTAAAACGTGTATCAGTGCTACGTACCGAGACAGTGTCACTATTTAGACAATATGACCTATTCTTTTTTCTTTGTCTAGTTGCAAGAACGGCTCCACTCCTATATATGAAGTCTCTGTCTTCAGAAGACATACCTACAGGAAAAAACTAGAGCTCTTGTAAGCCTCTCGCATGAAACTTTCGAGCAGCTAATTATTGAGCGATGAATTCTTTTCTCAGGATTAAGGATTCAAAACTTCGTTAGAATTGCATTACGATCCTGAAAGTATTTTAGGACTTCAGTAATCCGTAAGGTGAACATGCAAAGCGACTGGAGTGAGCACAGAGTCGCACTTAAATCCAAGAACACCGAATGCAATGAATTTGTTTGACTTCATTACAACAAATGTCCGCATTCATCTGCATAATTTGAACGTAAGCTGCGTTACTATGCAGTGTATTCGGTAGCTAAATAAATCAGGCTGAGTTCTGGATATTTGCTTCAGTGACAAAATTAATAGTCAGATACGGAGGTCTTGGAATACCAAATGCTAAAAATACGGCATGGCCATTTTGTCCATATAATAAACTCTGGTCCATGGCATATCCCTTCTCTGATCCAAGGCATATAACTACCATGATATTTTATTGTATCTAAATAACATTCGTTAGTTATATCACCTCCCCATACATGTGAATTGATTACATTCATTTCCACGTACGATAATAAAATTCAACATGAACCAGTAACCGCTTCAAAAAATCATGGGCTCATCTAATTTATTTGCATATTATTGATTCACTGCATTAAATGAATAAATAATTATGCCACAGATGCCACTCGCTGGATGCAGATGAATGAAAACTGCGCCTCTAACGTGAGCTTAAAAATGAAAGTGATTTACTAAACAAGGATTGAACGGTCAGGGCAGCCAAACAGAGTTGTTCTTCTACATGGCTGAACTGAAGAAAGTTAATAATTAACGGGCTTATACGGCGAAGACACAAGACAGGCCATGCGACTGCACATTTCACAATTGCATTTTTGGGATTCCAACTTAACATATGCTGGTGAAAATCAAAGGCGGATAATTAATGGCCAATGGTTGGCCGACGATGATCCGACTTTAATTTTCTAGAGAATTTAAACAACATAAATATGTATGAAGCTGGAATTCCGACTCAACATATGCTGGTGAAAATCAAAGGCGGATAATAATTAATGGCCAATGGTTGGCCGACGATGATCCGACTTTAATTTTCAAGAGAATTTGAACAACATAAATATGTATGAAGCGACACAGCATATCGTGTGTCGCTTCGAATTGCTTTCACTTGCAAATGCAAGGTTATATTATTTTTAGCGACAGGTGTAGATGTTTATAATTAATTTGATGAAGAAGAATATCTCTGGAAATATTTCCAAGCGACAGTAAAAGAGTCTTATATGGAATTTACGCTAACATCTTACCAAAAAAATTGTTTTCTTTGCATGAAGTGAGGCTACTGTAAGTGAAGACATGTTTCTTGATAAACTTTATGATTAATTATTTTATAATAACTTATAGCTATAAATGATAAGTCATGGTTAAACTTAATTACATTTATATATTAATCCATGCCATTGCATGCAGGCACTATTATATTAGGAATTAGAATTAACGCGCATAATATAATATAAATATATTCATTTCATAGAATAAACAGGAGAGTTTTGTCTGGCTTCTCGATGTAAAAACCAAGTAATTCTAAATGCACGGATTTACAAATGTCTGGACTTTTAGCGATATTACATGTCATTCTGAAGCAAAAAAGGTGGAAGCTGATGAGTTCATTGCATGTTCAACGATTCCACTAAATCATTTCTCTCTTTTGAAATTATCTTAAAAACTTTAAAACAAAATGCCTATTGACTCTGATTGATTACAAGTTTCGTGCAATTCATCATTCGAAGAATATCGAGCTTCTTTGCAATATTTCTTGACGCATTTTTTAATATTCCCTTTTACATTTTTTCAAGTGTTCATCGTAATACTGCATTTAATTCGTCGTAACGCATTTTAATAATCATTATTATGTACCTTGTTCGTCACTATTTTTTATTATTTCTCCATCTTTTTCAACTGGCTTTTCATATCACAAATTTTTCTAATTCCCGTTTATATTTTCCATATATCTCATATTTTGACCATGAGGACCTCAGCGTGAAAAATTGTGACCAAATAATTGAAATCACGTGAACATAACAGTACCACTAAAGTAAACCGACTAAGTAAATGGGCATTGCTACTATATTATTGTGTCATATTATGGCTGCCTACTGTTGCGTATAGTATTGCGCATTTTGTTGCGTGGAATTACGTATAGAGTTGTATATCGTGTTACGAATCGTATTGCTCGCGGTGATGCATATCGTGTTGCACAACGTAATTAGCTTTATTATCCAATACACTGCGGCGGGTTGAGAGCAGCCTAGAATAGCCAAAATACGGCGGGTAGGCAATATGATAAAAGAGCATAAAAGAGCAAATATACGGGTTTATAGGCAGCACGATAAGTTAGCCAGGTAGTCATTATACGGCGGTTAGGCAGCAGGTTAAGGTAGCCAACATACGGCGGGTAGGAAGAAGGTTAAGGTAGCCAACATACGGCGGGTAGGCAGCAGGT